GCGGTCAGTGGTTCCCTTGATGTATGGCAGGAACACTTTTCCTCTGGGTGGATCTTCATCTTTATTCTCGTGGCTTGTTCTTGGTCTTGCAGCTCTTCTGATGTCTGAGGTGGAGTATTCATTGGCCTGGAGAGCCCAGTTGAGGTGGTTCAGTTCATCTTGGAGGAGGTGGGGTTCGCAGATTCTTTTTGCACGGTCTGCCAAGGCTTTAATGGTGCTTCTTTTTTGACTTGGGTGATGGTTGGAGTTTTTATGTAGATATCTATCTGTGTGTGTGGGTTTTCTGTAGACGGTGTGACCCAATTGTTGATCTGGTTTGCGGATGACTAGGACATCTAGAAAAGGCAGTCTTCCTTCATTTTCTTTTTCCATGGTGAACTGGATGTTTGGGTGGATGCTGTTAAGATGTTCCAGGAACCTGTTGAGTTCTTCTTCTCCATGGCTCCAAATGGTGAAGGTGTCATCCACATATCTGAACCATATCGTGGGCTTTTTGGTTGCTGTCTCCAGGGCTTGTTTTTCAAAGTGTTCCATGTAGAAGTTAGCTATGACCGGGCTGAGAGGGCTCCCCATAGCTACTCCATCTTTCTGTTCGTAGAATTCATTGTCCCACTGAAAGTAACTGGTGGTGAGGCAATGGTGAAACAGAGCCGTGATGTCTTCTGGGAACCTCTGGTTGATGAGTGCCGTGGTGTCTGCTACCGGGACCATGGTAAATAGAGATACCACATCGAAGCTGATCAGTTTGTTGTTGGTATTTAGCTTGAGATTGCTGATTTTTTCTATGAAGTGGGCTGAGTCCTTGATGTAGTGTGTAGTGAGCCCAATATGGCTTTGTAACTGTGCAGCAAGAAACTATGGGAATACTGTCTGGACTGCAGTATTCTGCAGTCCAGACCCAGAAATAGTGCATTTATCATGCACCTTCCAAGAAGGCGTGGAATAAATGCATTATCAAATTAATTCGCTACAAACCAGCATTTTCCTGGTTTGTAGCGAATTAATGCGGGACTGTCCAGAACGTTGCCTGGACACCTCCTTCTTTATTGCAGGAGTTCCCACAATAAAGACCTGTCTGGTCGGGCCCTATGTCCTCCAGCATGATGTTATGATCAACTTCTGGTGGAGGTTGACCTCAGACCTAGTTTAAAGACATAGAGATTCCTAGAGATACTATATTAATTACATCTGCAAATAATCAAATCTGCAAATGTTAACTCTGCAAATCTGGAGGTCCATCTGTGTTTGAACTGTGGCATGAGGACATCAAGGCATCAACCTATGGTGATAAAACTGTTACTGTGAAATATTCTGATCATTGGGTTGTTGTAGGTTTTTTTGGGCTATATGGCTATGTTCTAAAGGCATTTTCTCCTGACGTTTCGCCTGCATCTATGGCAAGCATCCTCAGAGGTAGTGAGGTCTGAGGAAAAGTGTTCTTGCCATACATCAAGGGAACCACTGACCACATAGGGAAGCTGATGAGGAAACACAACATACAAACTATCTACAGACCCACCAAGAAAATCCAACAAATGCTACGTTCAGCAAAGGACAAGAGGGATCCTCTCACCTCTGCAGGAGTCTACCGTGTACCATGCAGCTGTGGACAAGTCTACATAGGGACCACCAAACGCAGCATTGCCCAGACACGAATCAAGGAACATGAAAGGCACTGCAGACTACTTCAACCAGAGAAGTCAGCCATAGCAGAGCACCTGATGAACCAACCTGGACACAGCATATTATTTGAGAACACAGAAATGCTGGACCACTCTCACAACCACCATGTCAGACTACACAGAGAAGCCATTGAAATCCACAAGCATGTGGACAATTTCAACAGAAAGGAGAAAACCATGAAAATGAACAAAATCTGGCTACCAGTATTTAAAAAAACTCTAAAATTATAGAACAGCACAACAACAGAGAGGAAACAAACAAGGACATCTAATTACCTCTCAACAAAAGATTTCTCCAGGCACAGCCAGGCAATGAAATGCTAATCAAGGTGATCCTTTGTCCCACCCTGGTCATTCCACAGAATTTTGTTTCACTTGCTCAATTTTGTATTGAAATCAAGGCAAAGTTATATGCTTCCTCCTCTGCCAGACTTAGCTCAGATGTTGGATCTGGTGTATGCCTCCATCTTAGGATGGACCTTAGGATGGGCTGACAACTGGTTTTATCAGGTGTAATAAATCACTGCTGACCAAAGCCCGAGTTGGGGGTGAGCACCCGACTCTTAATAGCTGTTTTTTAAAAAAGAGAAATGCCCAGCTCCCTGTTGACCTAAGCAGTTCGAAAACGGCTGTGAGCTGTGAGTAGAAAAATTAGGGACCGATTAAAGCGGGGAGGCTAATTTATTACATCACAAAAAAGCCAGAGAACAAGGAGGAAATGCTATGATCAAAAGACTCAGTGTCATAATGGTCGAAGTGACAGCTCCCCTGTGGCCAAATCGAGCAACCTCCTGGATCCGGTGGATGATCTGCTGAATGGCCTCTGTCTGTCTGTATGTCTTGTATGTCAAAAACGGCATTGAATGTTTGCTGTGTATATTGTGGTCCGCCTGAGTCGCCTTCGGGGTGAGAAGGGCGGAATATAAACACTGAAAATAAATAAATAAATAGATCATCCGGAGTTTCGGGGTACAGTGTCATCTGTACGCGGATGATGTCCAACTCTGTCACTCCTTCCCACCTGCTACTAAGGAGGCTGTTCAGGTCTTGAACCAGTGCTTGGCCGCTGTAACGGTCTGGATGAGGGCGATCAAATTGAAATTGAATCCAGACAAGACAGAGGTACTCCTAGTCAGTCGTAAGGTGGAACAGGGCATAGGGTTACAGCCTGTGTTGGACAGGGTCACACTCCCCCTGAAGATGCAGGTTCGCAGCTTGGGTGTGATCTTGGACTCGTCGCTGAGCCTGGAACCCCAGGTTTCAGCGGTGACCAGGGGAGCATTAGCACAGTTAAAACTTGTGCGCCAGCTGCGCCCGTACCTTGGGAAGTCTGACTTGGCCATGGTAGTCCACGCTCTGGTTACATCCCGTATAGACTACTGCAACGCTCTCTACGTGGGGTTGCCTTTGAAGACTGCTCGGAAGCTTCAAATGGTCCAGTGTTCAGTAGCCAGGTTGCTAACAGGAGTGGCACTCAGGGAGCATACTAATCCTCTGTTGCGCCAGCTCCACTGGCTGCCAGTTTGCTACCGGGCACAATTCAAAGTACTGGTGTTAGCCTATAAAGCCCTAAACGGTTCTGGCCCTACTTACTTCTCCGAACGCATCTCCTCCTATGAACCAACTAGGACACTAAGATCATCTGGGGAGGCCCTGCTCTCGGTCCCGCCTGCATCACAGGCGCGCTTGGCGGGGACGAGAGACAGGGCCTTCTCAGTGGTGGCCCCTCGGCTGTGGAACGCCCTGCCTGCAGATATCAGATCGGCCCCCTCCCTGCTGGCGTTTCGGAGGAAAGTGAAGACCTGGCTGTTCGAACAAGCATTTGATTAAACAGTGTAATTGAACATAGGAATACGGAATAATGGGTGATGAGACTGGATTCTGATTTTACTGTTGAGGCGCTAATGATTGTTATACTGATGTTTAATGATTTATGTTACAATTGTTTTTAATTGCCCTATACTTGTCTCGTGATGTTTTGTATTGATGTTGTTCACCGCTTTGAGTCGCCTGAGGGCTGAGAAAAGCGGTATATAAATAAATAAATAAATAAATAAATAAATAAATATTGTTCAGCTACAGCACTCTTGTTCTGTTTTCTGCCCTCAAGCTAGTTTCAGTGTGAAATATCCACATTTTTTCACATTTCTAATTTTTATGATCCCTCCAAACTTGCATCATTCTTGAGGAAACTTCAGAGAACATTCACACATTTTTTTTAATTGGCCACATTTGTGGCACTGCCAGCATTTAAAAGATGTTAACATTATTGCCTTTCCAGTACTCCTTCACTATCCAATATTTATTTATTTATTATTTATTTACAGCTTTTATATTCCGCCCGTCTCACCCCGCAGGGGACTCAGGGCGGATTACAGTGTACACATATATGGCAAACATTCAATGCCAAATTTTGATATACAAACATATACAGACATACACAGAGGCTATTTAACTTTTTCTGGCCACCAGGGGAGCTGTCGCTTTCATCGTCCATCTGCGACGCTGATGAAGCACTTCCGCATTCCCCGCATGCTTCCCCGCTGGAATGCTTTTCTGGAGTCTTCTTTATGGCCTCATAAATCAGTTAATTTAGCCTCCCCACACTTTAAGGTGGTACCTTATTTTCCTACTTGACAGATGCAACTGTCTTTCGGGTTGCAAAGGTCGACAACAGGCTACACACAATTGGTTGGAAACCCACTCCAACCCGGGCTGGCTTCGAACTCATGACCTTTTGGTCAGAGTGATCTTAATGCAGCTGACACTCAGCCAGCTGCTCCACAATCCCGGTGCAGAGAAACTTCAGAGAACATTCACACATTTTTTTAAATTGGCCACATTTGTGGCACTGCCAGCATTTAAAAGACGTTAACATTACTGCCCTTCCAGTACTCCTTCACTATCCAATACTGTCTGAATGGCAAGTTTAGTCAAAGAAAGACATTTTCTACAGGTTCACCTTAAAAAGTTTAATATTTTATAATGAGTGCCATGTCTTCCAAAGTGACTATTGATTTTGTGCCTTATTATCAGCATAGCTGCAAGAAGAACTAATTTAGCACATGAAATGTTGAAGATAAATCCAAGCGCACTGAAGATGGACGTTGATGTATGAAAGAAAAGGGGAGAGGGTGGGATTGAGAGCGAAATGCTGCTTGCAGCAGCCACTTATAGAGCACAGTAAGACGGTCTAGACATTTCCCAGTGGAAGCCATTTCGCTTATATATAAACATGTGTTTGTGTTCTTGTTCAGCAGACATCCTATTGACTGTTTACTTATGTTAGTGATACATGCATATATTTGTCTTTTCTAGCTGTGCCCCATAAAATAGGCCGGATAATTGATGGAAGCCCTGCTGATCGCTGTGCAAAACTAAAAGTCGGAGACCGGATCTTAGCTGTGAATGGCCAGTCTATTATTAACATGCCTCATGCCGATATTGTGAAGCTAATTAAAGATGCTGGTCTTAGTGTAACTCTTCGCATCATTCCTCAGGAGGGTAAGTAATTGACCCTTAAAACCCAAAGGGAAAATAGAAGTTGCAACCAATTAATCTGAACTGCGCCTTTGGGAAGTTGGGAAGTTTGTATGTGTACAGCCAGTGTGCCGTATTCTATAAATGTTACTGCTGGATCCCTGCAGACCTTGCTAGAACAGCGTCCAAGCCCTTCAAAAACACTTCAGACGGCAAAAAATATATTTGAACCACCAGGAAAAGCTTTGATGAAGCACTTCAGGGTCTGTTCCTTTGCCTCGTGGGAGAACTAACATTATGCAGCAGTTGGAAATAATCCCTAACAACCCTGCTCCATCCTCACTCCATTTTACATAATTGCAACTTTCCTCGTGTCTGCTGTTGCCTGATTGTTTTTTCCCCCAATTATGCAACTGAGAAGGGGCACAGAACAACAGGCGTTCCAGCAGAATGACTGCTGAGCTATAGAAACTTGTTCATTTAAGCTTTGCGCTTGGTATTCTTGCTTTTGTTTGAGCAGTGTTGCTGTGAGGAGGGGCTGATGATACTGGGGTAGAATTAATGCAGCTTGACGTCCCTTTTACTGCCATGACCCAGTGCTATGGAATCATGGGAGTAGTAGTTACTGTTCTGGAACAGCTGTACCAGGAGCTCCAATTTTGTTTGCTTTGCATTGAATGTTTGTTTGTAGTCCTAAGTTTCAGGGACTCTGCAGATAGGTGGCTTCTTTTGGTTGCAGTCATAGGGCAGGCCACCTGTCCGTCATCGTTAAGTTTTGGTCCTGCCCCTTGCTCAGGGCAATTGGGAAGGGAAGTGGGCCATTTTGTTAGTTAGTCTCAGCCAGGTTAGCTTATGTATAGGATGTGTGTAAATTCCCCTGTACAAAAGCTTCAACCTTTAAGAATTCCAGGGAAGCATTCCTACAGCTTTAAGAATTCCAGGGAAGCATTCCTACAGCTTTAACAATTCCAGGGAAGCATTCCTACAGCTTTAAGAATTACAGGGAAGCATTCCTACAGCTTTATGAACTCCAGGGAAGCATTCCTACAGCTTTAAGAATTTCCAGGAAAACAGCCTTAAAGACTAAAGAACTCCAACTGGAGAATATCCACTGCCTTGCTGGTAGGTCCACTCGGCGTCCGAGAAGCAGTTCGGCCCGGTAGCAGAGCCCACATCAGTGAGGGTTGGATTTCAGTCAGCCTGGGATAAGTTAAAAAGGGGAATTTTCCTTTAAAGAAAAGGTTATTGAAGGTCCCCTGTGGACAGGGTTGAGAGAGCCAATAGTTTATCAAGAAAGCCTTGAAGTACCTGTTAGATTTCATTAATAAAAGACTTTGTTGTACTTCTCAAGCCATCTGAAGATTCTTTGTAGTGGAAACCTCTGAGAACTTCTCCTTGGGCCCCTGGCTTCCCACTGGGCAAAGGTTACACATCCTGTTTTTAAAGTCAAACAAATACAGGCCCAGCGCACGACAAAACAGTTACATTTCCACTTATTTTTATGTTATTTTTCTTGGAAAAGGCAATGTAAAACAACTATTTTATTTTTTAAAATGCTCCTCAAATGACTGATGAAGATCTGCAAATCTGTTGATATGGACAAATTAGCTAGGCAGATGGAAAAATATTTGTCCAACTGCAAGCACAATTGGGACTTTTTTAGCCTTTAGAAATGAGTAGAATGTTACTAAAAGTAGAAAAGAGATTTTATAAATACAGGGCGAGGCAGCATAATTTCCTTTTTTTCAAAACTTACTAAAACCCATTGAAATGTTTGTTTTTTTTAATGTAGGTGCATACCTAAAGTTTTGTTTTACGTAGTTTTGAAGATCAAATTAGGTAGGTGACGTCCCCCATTCTCCATACACTGAGTAAACCGATTTCTGGCGTTTGTCATGACTCTTGCCAGCATAGCAGGCGTTATGTTGGCAATTTCTTCCTGGATGTTGGTCTTCAAATCTTGTAGGGTCCTTGGACGGTTCACATAAACATGGGATTTCAAAAAAACCATAGAAAAAAAATCACAAGGGGCCAAATCTGGAGAGCGGGTTGGCCACTCCAAATCCGCTCGAAAAGTAGGCCTCAATGGCAAAAGCACACTCCTCACTGTTCCAACGCATGATGGCAACTAAACTGTGGAGGACCAAAATCTACTGATTGTGGTAATGTGAAAATAACTAAATTAACTCAATGTATATATTACAAATACACATATCAAAAAAAACTGCCACATTCACATTAAGTAGAAACAACTGGTTCTTCTCTTGAAGTATAAAACAAAGTCTTCGTTTGAGAAAATGTCCTGTTCTTTATTACATATGAGTAGACTCCAATAGTCACATGAATTGACTCCAACCTGCAACCGGTTTCGACTCACAAGAGCCTTCGTCAGGCGGTTGGGTTCAAATTATCAAAAAAAGCTCAACTTTAGAGGTGAGAAATTCACCAACAGTCTTCTGAAGGGGTGGATCCTAAGGGGACATAGATAGTGGAGCTATTCTTTGTTGAGCAATATACCCTGCAAGGAGTTTTATTCTGTGGCGAGTATAGGATCAAAATCGCAACAGAATAAAACTCCTTGCAGGGTATATTTATTTATTTATATATTTCATTTATATACTGTTTTTCTCAACCCTGGGGGGGGGGGGCTCAAAGGGCTTCACAACAAAGTAAATGGCAAAATTCAGAGTATAAAATACAACACATAAGTAAAATAGCACATAATATATTAAAACCAGTAAACTATAAACATCAAACATAACGTTCTGTCGCGTGCAGGGCCTGTAAGCAATTGTCTTTAGAACAGGACGTGCAACCTTTGCCCAGCGGGAAGCCAAGGGGCCCAAGGAGAAGTTCTCAGAGGTTTTCCACCACAAATGACCTTTAGATGGCTTATGAAGTATAACAAAGTCTTTTATTAATGAACAATCAAACAGAAACTTCTCTTGTCTTCAATAAAGCTAAACAAATGCTTCCAAGCTTTATGCAACTGGTGACTTCCTAATCTTGCCCACGAAGGACAGGCAACTGTCTTCAATAACTTCTTCTTTACTTTAAAGGAAAATCCCCTTTTTAACTTCTCTCAGGCTGACTGTAATCTAACCCTTACTGATGTGGGCTCCGCTACCGGGTCGAACTGCGTCTCGAAGCACCGAGTGGACCTACCAGTAAAGGCTTAGATATTCTCCAGCTGGAGTTCTTTGGTTTTTAGGGCTGTTTTCCTGGAAATCTTTGGAGACTCTTAGGACTGTTCTCCCCCAGAAAGTCTTGGATGCTCTTAAGACTGTTTTCCCCCAGAATGTTTGAAGAGTTGAAGCTTTTGTACAGGGGAAGCTAGCACACGTCTTGTACATTAGCTTTCCTTGCTGAGACTAACTAAAAATGGCCCCCTTCTCTTCCCAATTGCCCTGAGCAAGGGGCGGGACTAAAACTTAACGATGATAGACAGGTGACTTGCCCTATGACTGCAACCAAAGAAAGCCACCTATCTGCAGAGTCCCTGAAACTTAGGACTGCAAGCAAACATTAAATACAAAGCAAATAAATTTGGAGCTCCTCGTACAGCCGTACCAGCACACATAACATAAACAACATAAAGTCTCTGCCTTGGAAGGGAAATGCACTCCTGAAAGAGATTTCATGGGGAAAAAGTGTCTCAACTGAAGCCTTGTTTCCACAACAAGTCAATTTTTTTTTTTCAAAATCCAGTTTGGGCGGGGTGGGGGGGTGAGGTGAAATCTTCTGAACAAGGGCATAGACAGCAAAACAAACATCCCTATGCTTTTATGTGTATGTGTGTATCTGGAGTTACGCTTATAATGTACCTGTTATGGCGTAAATATAAATTCATCTTACGAACAAACCTACAGAACCTATCTTGTTCGTAACTTGAGGACTGTCTGTACTTTAATTGGAATTATGTGAAACGGAACCGATGCACAGACTGCGACAAAATTTTAATAACAAGCATAGAACAGGAATCGTACGTGATTTTAAATTATGCTTAATGTCAAATGAAGACAATTATTTTTGAGTGTTTTTAATCTATGCTCGAAGATAACAAAAGGGAGATAATGAGAAATAGTCTGAAGTGGATCATCATAATGATGCCTTCTCTTTGCCCTTAACGCAATGGCCTGCAGCATCAGCCTTCTAACCTCTGTGTTCCCTTCTGCAGAGCTGAACAGCCCAGCTTCCGCACCCAGCTCAGAGAAGCAGAGCCCCATGGCACAGCAGCACAGCCCCATGGCTCAGCAAAGCCCCCTCTCACAGCAGAGTCCTGTAGCACAGCCCACGCCTCCACAGCCGCTCCAGCCTCAAGGGCATGAGAACAGGTAAGGAAAAAACAGCTCACCCGCGTCAGCACCTTGTAAGTATCTATATAAATAAAAATGTAATGTTCGTTTGTGGGATTTTTTTTTTTGTTGTGTCAGGGCAACCAGTCAATTGTATTACATTTCTAACAGAACAAAACAAACAGACAGACAAAATACAAAATTTGCAAGTTTGGTAGTTGATTAAATGTCCTTTGACCAGTATCTGGCCCCTTGGAGTGCCTCTGGTGTTGCTGCAAGAAGGTCCTCCATTGTGCATGTGGCGGGGCTCAGGCTGCATTGCAGCAGGTGGTCTGTGGTTTGCTCTTCTCCACACTCGCATGTCGAGGATTCCACTTTGTAGCCCCATTTCTTAAGGTTGGCTCTGCATCTCGTGGTGCCAGAGCGCAGTCTGTTCAGCGCCTTCCAAGTTGCCCAGTCTTCTGTGTGCCCAGTGGGAAGTCTCTCATTTGGTATCAGCCATTGATTGAGGTTCTGGGTTTGAGCCTTCCACTTTTGGACTCTCGCTTGCTGAGGTGTTCCAGCGAGTGTCTCTGTAGATCTTAGATAGTTTCTGCAGTCTGTTCTTTCCCTTTTTTTGAAGAGAGTGATGATGGTGGCATCCTTGAAATCTGCTGGGATTTTTTTGGTCACCCACACTTTTTGTATGAGCTGGTGGAGTTGTTGTGTCAGCTCAGGTCCTCCCTCTTTAAAAATTTCAGCAGGGATCCCATCAGGTCCGCTGGCTTTGTTATTTATTGTCGGCTGATGGCATTGCTGACTTTTTCCAAACTGGGCAGTGCTGCAAGCTCTCCCCTGATTTGTTGTTGCGGGATTTGTGAGAGAACCTCTTCAGACACATTGGAGCTGTGATTCAAACAATAAATCATTGACAATTAGAATGATTTGATAGATGTTTTCTGTTCAAATGTCATGAATCACATTCAATCCATTACAAACGGAACATCTGAGATGCATAAAAACGCTGAAGGAAGAAGTGTGACTTCAAATATATCTATGCTGGTCTCAGAATGAGCAGGATTAAACCAGGGACAAAAATCCACATGCTCTAATTTAATGTTATATATACATTAAATCTGATTGCCAAAAAGGATCATAAAATTGAAGCAGATGTTCGTGGAGCACATCGTCATGACATATACGGGACAGAGACTGTGCTGGTCTCCATCACTGATCACCTTCGATGCTAGCTTGACCGGGGTGGGTTGGCGCTGCTCGTGTTATTGGATCTCACAGCAGCATTTGACACAGTCGACCACAATCTTTTGACCCACCGCCTTGCTGTTGCTGGAGTCAGGGGGACAGCTTTAAATTGGCTGTCCTCCTTTCTTCACAACCGTGGACAGTGAGTGGAGAGAGGCCTGGTCTCTGAGAGGTCCCCTCTATCTTGTGGGGTTCCTCAGGGGACCATTCTCTCCCCTCTGTTGTTTAACATTTATATGCGACCACTTGCTCATCTGGTTCAAGGTTTTGGGCTTGAGTGTTACCAGTATGCTGATGACACTCAGCTGGTGCTGAAGATGGAAGGCCGACCGGACTCTGTACCCAATTGTTTCCATCAGTGCCTCGAGGCCGTTACTGGATGGCTGCATGCCAGCAGGTTGAGGGTGAATCCAGCAAAGACGGAGATCCTATGGCTGGGTCAACCGGGCAGTGGGGATATCCAGCTGCCTACCCTGGATGGCGAGGCACTACGCCCGTCATCATTGGTAAAGCGTCTGGGAGTCCTTTTGGACCCTCTGCTGACGATGGAGGCCCAGGTCTCCGCCGTTAGCAGAACCACCTTTTTTCATCTGCGGCAGGCTAGACAGCTGGCCCCCTATCTGTCCAGGGATGACCTAGCTACGGTGATCCAGGCTATGGTCATCTCAAGACTGGACTACTGTAACGCCCTCTACATTGGCCTTCCTCTGTCAGTGATCCGGAAGCTCAAGTTGGTACAAAACGCAGCTGCTCGGCTTCTTGCGGGAATTCCGATGAGATGCCACATAACACCAATCTGACTGCAGCTGCATTGGTTACCAATTGAGCACCGGATCACTTTCAAAGTGATGGTACTCACCTTTAAGGCCTTGCATGGTCTGGGGCCAATGTACCTGAGGGACCGCCTCACCCCCTACCAATCCCAGAGATCCCTCAGTTCTGAGGACCAAGATCTATTGGAAATTCCCAGTGTCAAGACCTTGCGTCTAACAGCAACCAGACGCAGAGCCTTTACAGCAGTGGCACCATCACTCTGGAATACTCTGCCACCTGAAGTCCGTGCCTTGTGGGACTTATCAGCTTTCCGCAGGGCATGTAAGACATATCTGTTTCGACAGGCCTTTGATCTCTGACATTGTTTTGTTTTTAGATTGTTTTAAATTGTTTTAAATTGTGTTAGATTTTAGCCTGTTCTTGTAAGCCGCTCCGAGCCCCAGGGGAGTGGCGGCATATAAGTTCGAATACTAAATAAATAAAATAAATAAAGATAGGTGTGCCATACCCTTTTTCGTTGGATTTGGGTTGTGGCATCCAATACACTATTCCTTGAGGAATATATGTATTCAATTTATGGTGCCTCTGTGAACAAGATCCCTAGCCATCAAGACTTGTTTTGACTGAGTCAATCCACCAGTATTATGGTCTTTCTTTCTTTTATTATTATTGTTGTATTGTTGTTGTTGTGTTTTACTGATGTATTTGGGCTCGGCCTCTTGTAAGCCACACCAAATCCTTTCGAAGATGGTAGCGGGGTATAAATAAAGGATTATTATTATTATTATTATTATTATTATTATTATTATTATTATTATTTCTTTTCCTACTGCCTTCCACCTTTCCCAATATTGTCTTCTTTTCCAAGGAGTTATGAATTTATTACTTACGGAGATCTAAAGGGACAATCTGGCAGCATGTGTTTCATTTATTTGTAGCAACTGGACAGTTTTTGAGTGTGATTTTTTTTTTAAAAAAAGCATAATACAGATGGTCATGATTCTAATGTAACTCTTCTCTATTTCTTAGTTACAGGTCAGAGGTAAAAGCAAGGCAGGATGTAAAGCCTGACATCCGACAACCTCCGTTTACAGACTATAGGCAACCCTCAACGGATTATAGGCAGCCTCCGTTAGACTATAGGCATCCTCCAGTATTGGATTACCAGCAACCCCCACCTCTGGACTACCGGCAGCCCCCCTTGATAGACTACAGGCAACATTCTCCTGACACCAGGCAATACCCCTTATCGGATTACAGACCGCCCCAGGTATTTATTTGCTTGCACATAGAATTTCCATAGTGCTTTTTCCATAAACCATACCCAAAGCAGTTTGCAATGAATTTGATTCTGCTGTCTGCTAATATGAAAATGCAATTTCAGAGTTGGCACCACTATAATTTTTGCATCAGCAAATGGAAGGAGCCAAGGTACAGTGATCATACAGTAGTGGTGCTATTCTTCATAAATTTTATTATTTAACGAATCAATGAGTAATTTTAGCCATCATTTTCTCATTTTCTTCAAAACGACAAGGCTATTTACAGTTCTGGACAAATTTCTACTTTTTGTGCAGAAAACAGTATTGTTTCATAGGAAACAGTATTTGTGATGTATTTGTATCACTTATAACCTACTTTTCTTCTATATGGGATTGATAGAAGCTTCTTAGGCGATCCCTCATAGTCTGAGAATGATGGTCCTCTAAGTGTAGTGTCCGTAGGTGACTGTGGAGCCCTATTCTTGATCTGCATCTTCTCCCGCAGTGAGGGCATTGGTTTCCAGGTGGAAGGCGGTCCCGCTCAAGGTTGGCTTGATACGCCTTCCTCTTGGCACATTTCCCTCTTTCACCCTCCATTCGTGCCTCTTCAAATTCTGCAGCACTGCTGGTCACAGCTGACCTCCAGCTGGAGCGCTCAAGGGCCAGGGCTTCCCAGTTCTCAGTGTCTATGCCAGAGTTTTTAAGGTTGGCTTTGAGTCCATCTTTAAATCTCTTTTCCTGCTCACAGGTCAGCTCAGTGTCTATGCCAGTGTCTATGCCAGAGTTTTTAAGGTTGGCTTTGAGCCCATGATAAAGGCTTATGACATATACAGCTAAAACCCACCTGGAATACAAAAATCAAACAAGCATTAATTATAATCCTCTTTAAAAAATATTTAAAGCCATTATGTGCACCTCAAAAGCTACTCATTGAACTACTCTGACCAAATTAAAATCTGAAAATTTGCTCAAATCAGAAAATCAGTCTTCCCACAGAAGGCAAATAGGGAGCATTGTCTGCACAATAACTGTTGGGACTATTGGGGGATTTCTTTTGTACATGTGGATTTCTTTGCACAAAAAAAAAAACAGCATTGTATTATTTTCTGGGCAGCAAATGATGGTTGTTGTTTTTGTTGTTGTTTTGTTTTGGTTTATTTATTTATGTATTTATTTATTGGTAATTTTGCACAGACTAAGGGCTTTTCTACATAAGCCATGCACCCTGAAGGGGGTGAGAAGTCGCTCCTCCACTTTTCCATCCCACAATGTAGGTTAAAACTGGTTAACATGGCTTTGCTCCGCATTAAGGAAAAATCAGCACTTTGGGACACTGTGAACACCTGGACTGGTTCTGATTTGGTACCCGCCCTGGTATTCACATGGACCAGTATTGCTGTCCTACATTCCCCATGGTCCGTGGTACAAGGAATATGGGATGACATTTACCTATGGTGTTTTTATTCACCCCTCTTTCCTGCCTCACCTTTACTGAAATTAGCAAATGTGCCAAGTGATGGCTGGGACAGAGGCGGCCCCTAGGTAATTTTCAACAGTAAGCAAACAGTATTTTGGCACCCCCCCCCCCAACCAATCACTGAGATATATTTTCCGTTCATCGTGGGAGTACTGTGTACCATATTTGGTTCAATTCCATCATTGATGGAGTTCAGAATGCTCTTTGATTTTAGGTGAACTATACATCCCAGTAACTACAACTCGCATATGTCAAGGTCTATTTTCCCCCAAGAGCGCCTCAAGAGCGCCCCTGGGCAACATCAACTATACTGCAAATACTTACTTTGCGTAATGGGTTGAGCCGCCCCTGGGCTGGGAGCTCCATGGGGTTGTGTGGCCACCTCTGTAGCAACAAAAATTGACACAGATATGGCTTACTGTCCAACAGGGACAAACCAAGTTAGGCTCAACGGGACAGTTGAGGCTCTGCCCCACGACTGTAGCAGGATGGGAACAGGCTATGTAGCTACACCTCCAGGCAAGTTCCACATTAAGTGGCTCATGTAGATGGGCCCTAAAACTCAAACTGCAAAACAATTTCAACTGTCTATGGTTCTTTTTACCCAGGATTCTTCTAACCTGACATTCGAGTAACACAATACTTGATCATTTTTTTAATATATTAAAATTCTTTTTCAGTCCCTACAGAACCCATGACTTACAAGCAGGAAGTTCATAATTCACTCCATGGTACTTTCACTTAAAAGGAGAACTTTGGAAAGATATCTGCCTGAAGTTAGAGTAGATTTATTTATTTATTTATTTATTTGCTTTACTTCTATACTGCCTTTCTCAGCCAAAATGGTGACTCAAGGCGGTTTACATAATAAAGGTTATCACAACAATATCGAAAAAGGTAATTAAAACACATTATACACAACATACAAGGTCAAAAAACAATCATTATCATAATTGCAGTGCCTCAGCAACAAATCAGAATCCGTAATCATAATCCTTTATACCAATTCCTATGTTCAGTTGTACCATCTTCCTGTATTCCATTGCACTATTTAGCCAACTGCTTGTTCATAAAGCCAAGTCTTGACCTTCCTCCAGAACGCCAGCAGTGAAGGGGCCTGTCTGATGTCCACAGGTAGGGCATTCCACAGCCAAGGGGCCACCACCGAGAAGGCCCTGTCCCTCATCCCCACCAAACGCGCCTGCGATGCGGGCGGGACCGAGAGCAGGGCCTCCCCGGACGATCTTAATGTCCTAGTCGGTTCATAGGTGGAGATGCGTTCGGAGAGGTAAGTAGGGCCAGAACCGTTTAGGGCTTTATAGGCTAAAGCCAGCACCTTGAATTGTGCCCGGTAGCAGATTGGCAGCCAGTGGAGCTGGCGCAACAGAGGAGTGGTGTGCTCCCTGAGTGCCGCTCCTGTTAGCAACCTGGCTGCCAAACGTTGGACCATTTGAAGATAAGAGTGATAATGAATTGCTGCGTTTGTTCATACTAACAGCTACTAAGGAGGCTGTGAGAGTGGTCCACTCTCCAGTATTAAAAAACTCAAAAATTACAACAGCAAAACAACAGAGAGTAAACAATCAAGCACATCAAATCACCTCTCAAAGAAAGATTCCCCCAGGCACTTCCAAGCCATTAAATGCTAATCAAGGTGGTCAGTTGAAACATTCACACCTAGCTCCAGCAGACAAAAGTCCTTTGTCCCACCCGGGTCTTTCCACAGATATATAAACCCATTTTCCTACTTCCAACAGACCTCACTACCTCTGAGGATGCTTGCCATAGATGCAGGCGAAACGTCAGGAGAAAATGCCTCTAGAACATGGCTATATAGCCCTGAACACCTAAAACAACCCAGTGATTCCCGCCATGAAAGCCTTCGACAATACAATAGTATTGCTCTTTCATTTGCTTTTTTCTGAATGGAAGCAATAGGTACCTACAATACAAACATTTTGTATAGACCTCTTGAGATTTCAAAAACAGCTTTGGTTATAATATATGGATGTTGATGTGTGTGAACCAAGGTCTCACTGCATGCACTTAACTCCTTTTGCAGATATAGCACAGCTCAATGAATTGCAGCCAGTTTTTTATATATATTTTTTAAAAAATAGTTAAGAAAGCCTCTTTCTTGCATACAAATAGTTTAGGAAGCCTCACCAAGTAGATGGTGTAAACACAAAGCAGATGGACTCGCTGCATAAATGCGGTCGCTTCTGTGACTGCTTTAGACGGAGACTGCTTGTAATTAGGAAATCATAAAACTCCCTGCAAAAACACTCAGGGGAAGCTACTGTTTGTTCAAAAGGTCGTCCGTGTGCGTGTCCTTGCATTGTGATTGAAATTATGCAAGTCGACGCTATCGCTGCATAAATTGAACAGGTGCCTCTCTTCGCAGAGCGCTTGGAGCCTGACATTTTCTGTCTCGACTGTCTAATGACTCCATCCTTAGACATAAATACTGGGGGTGCGGGAGACAGAACAAGCAGATACAGCAGTGGGCCAAATGTTTATAATGCACATTAAGCAAGCGGGGTGCATTCAGATGTGCGCTGTTTCGTGTCATTATGCAAGGGTCAGACCATATTAAAGGTGGTTAAGCATGGATTCAGCTCCTGTTTTGTTTTACACTTGCATTCAATAGGGGAAGTAGTGAGTCACCTTCAGACCAATTTGACTCTCCAAGGATTAGTTTGAAACATTAACAACCTTAGATATGCAGATGATACCACTTTGATGGCTGAAAGCGAGGAGGAGCTGAGGAGCCTTCTAACCAAGGTGAAAGAAGAAAGTGCAAAAGTTGGATTTCAGTTAAACATCAAAAAACTAAGTTTCCGATTGGGTTTGTGGTGGGATGTTACTTTGACAGGAGGAATGATGAGAAACTGAGCCTCTTCAGAAACAAAAGCAAATTATTTCACAGGAATTGAAACCTGGAGAAGAAGTCACATGGAGATAATGTTTCAAATGAGATGATCGTATCATCGAGTGAAACAAAAATTGTTAGTCCCAGGCCATCTATTAAATTCATCATCCCGAGCTCTGAGGATTACCTGGGAAGGAATCGCACTGGAGCATTGCAGCACAACCAAATACCTGGAAGTCACTCTGGACCATGCTCTGACCTACAAGAAGCACTGCCTGAACATCAAGCAAAAAGTGGGTGCTAGAAACAATATCATACAAAAGCTGACTGGCACAACCTGGGGATCACAACCAGACACAGTGAAGACATCTGCCCTTGCGCTATGCTACTCTGCTGCTGAGTATGCATGCCCAGTGTGGAACACATCTCACCACACTAAAACAGTGGATGTGGCTCTTAATGAGACATGCCGCATTATCATGAGGTGTCTGCGCCCTACACCACTGGAGAAATTGCACTGCTTAGCCGGTATTGCATCACCTGACAGCCACCGGGAAGTATTTATTTATTTATTTATTTATTTATTTCGAGGTTTTCTATACCGAGCTTCTCAACCTCATCGAGGGATTCAGCCCGGTTTCCAGACATAAAAAACAACA